TAATATGTTAACATACGTGCTGATATCTCCTGGTGTGGTTGGTCAATGCGTTCCTATTGTACATAAGTGATCCGTGTTCGAATCCTAACTATACCAATTTTTATTTTTTTATTTTTTTGGTTACATTTTTATTTTTATTTTTCATTCACATAATAGCTCATAAATACTAATGTATCCCAATTTAAATTAGACTTTTACATACCAAAGTTACTAATTATCAACAAAACTGTTGGAGGTATGATTTCTTTATATTCGATATACCATTTTATTTTATTTTATTTTTTTGTTACACTTTTCATCTATTCATTCACATATTATCCATAAATACTAATGCATCCCAATATAAATTAGTCCTTTTAAACACTAATGTTACCAATCATCAATAAAACAATTCGAGGTATGATTTCCTTAAATCCGAAATTATGACACTCCCACTAAAAAACCAAAACCTTTCCGAATTTCTCAGTATCAAATTCCATAAAACAAGATCTTTCCAAGTTTGAACTGCATCAAAATAGTATTTACAGGATCAAAACAAATACTTAGTCATTCAACCCAGAAACATTGGATGGTTGTGGGGATTAGCATTTGATTGTTGAGAACTATTCTGAAAATTCATGGCGACTTGTCTGGGAACGCCTCTGCCAAAACTACGAAGGTTCATTGTTGTTACAGGCTGTTGAAATACTTGACCACTTGGGCTTTGATTTAATCCTTCGTATTGGTTGTGCTGGTAAATGCCTCGAGGGTCAAATGATCCATAGTGGACAGGACCACCGTAAACAGAGCTGCTATTACCAGTATGCATGGTGCTACGGATTCACTCCATAAAACTGGTTTGCGTCACCAAACATACCATGGTTAAAAGGATCATCCCCCTCACCTTCATCCTCAGGTTCCTAAAACATAGAATAGTAAAAAAAAAAACATCTTAATGATAGCAAGAATTAAAGAGTATAAAACTAGAATAATTGTGGTTTAATCAATCTGACACATAAAGAACAAAAATTTCTTACTTGGTCATTCTTCTTCTTTAATTTTTTTTTCTTCGATCCTTTTTCTGATGGGTGTTTATTCCTCGTAGTTTGTGCCCGTCCCACACCTCGTTTGTCTACTAGGTCCTTGATGTTCCTTTCTTCAGGGGGTTTTGCATTCCATTGAAGATTTTCTTGGTTATGCTCCTTTGGCCTAAGCCTGCGCCGACCGAACACCCTATTCATTGAAGGGTCTGACCAGTCTTGTCCGTAAACACCATTCGTGGATCGAATACCAATAATTTCTTCCAAAGTACCACGGATTTTGTCCGTTGCTTTCTTATACAATTGGAGTGTCTCATCACTGTGCATTGCTAATGTTGACAGGTATTGATGTCTCACGTTTATTTCGTTCTGCTTTTTCAATTTTATTGAATCATTAGGGTCGTAGTACGACACATTAATTCCTTCGTAATCCCTTACTACATTCTTCCTCCAACGATCCAAAATGTACTTAGAAGGAATCAAGTCAATGTCTTTTATCTTAATGACCCTGATAATATGTTTGCAAAGTATTCCACAAAACTCAAACAGTTTGCATGAACAACAAAATTCACCTCTTCCTTTGTCCACGAAAACCTTGAACATTTTTCGCCTTGCTTTCCAAACAGGTATCAGAATCTCTCTTCTGCATCATACACGATTTTTATCCCATCATTTCCTGTCCTCAAAACATTTGTGTGCCTAAGGCCTATCACCTCATCCCTCACCTCCAGAAATTTCATATTTGTGAACGCCTTGCTAAATATGCACTCGGCCAAAATTGTGTTATCATAACCACAAGTTTTACTATGAGAAAGGAAATTCAATTCCTTCTCATCTTCGACTTTCTTCTTATTGCTTTGCTCAAGCTGGTTCATGAATTGCAAAAGCCCAGTGTTCACACTAACATATCCCTTAATACTACGGTTCTGTCCTTCACTTCGTTGCTAATGACATTCCAGCCCAAAAAAATACCCCTCCAGAAACCGGGGGCCCAACGATGCCTATTCTCATATTTGTCATTAATCCAATCGTTGTTTTGCAACCCATATTTTATCACAATTTCTTTCCAAGCATCCTCAAATTCTTCTACAGACAGAGAATCATGCACGACAATTTTTAAATCAGCATGTATCTCCTTAAATTTCTCTAATTTTCCTAAGTTCTTGTGAGCATTCTACAAAATGTGCCGTATACATAGCCAGTACGACACATCAGGAAATACTACTTTAACCGCTTCCCTATAGCTTTACACTGGTCGGTGATGATACCTTTTGGCGGCTTGCCCATACATTACAGCCATTGTTTAAATACCCGCTCAAATGTTTCTGCATTTTCATTAGAAACTAAGGCTGCATTTAAAATGATCAACGATCCGTGATGATTGCAGCCAACAAAAGGAGCAAATGGCATATGGTACCTGAACAAGGTAATATAATTTTATTTAATAACTTACAAAAAAATTCAAATAGATGCTTTAAATTAGTAAATGAATCTTTAAAAAGACTCTTTGATTCTAAAAGATACATTAAAGTGCAAAGAATAAACTTTTCAAATATACAGTACCATTTTAAAGTAATTGAAAAAGGTACTTTTATTCATATAAATTATAAACAGATTCTATAAATTATAAAACGACTCTTTAAAATAATTTATAAACACAAATCCTAGCACTACAGTTCTATTAATTTATAAACAAGATATTTTAATTTATAAACAAGTTCTATAACTTATAAAACGACTCTTTAAAATAATTTTACTATTTAAAAAAAACATAAATCCTAGCAGTACAGTTCTATTAATCTATTTAAATCATACAAACAACCAAACAAATACAGTAAAACAAGATCTTACCTATTGCATAAAAACGTTGTATCAAATGAAACCATATCTCCAAAGTCTTTGTACTGCGAACGAACCCTTGCATCAGCCCAAAAAACATTAACAAGTTTTCCCTCTTCATTTGTTTGGATTGCACTATAAAACTCAGAGTTTGCTTCTGACATCTTTTCAAAATGTTCTTGTACAGCATCAGCATCCCCACCGAATATGATACGTCGCCGAACAATGTTTACTGCATTTCTCAAATTGCTCTGGTTGAAAGTTAAATTCTGTTGTCCACCTCTAGCAATAACAATAGAATTGTAGCTTTTGGTCATTGAAATTCCAGTTGAGTCGTTTAAGACCATGTTTTTAAAAGCACCGTCGTCAATGCCCCGATAGTTCACCATCATCAGCCGGCTATCATTTGGATATAGTTCATGATTGTGGGACAACATACACTTCTTAATAACTATACAACCATCTGAGAACCGTGCATCAACATACACATTATTTACATCCTGTTGGAGGACATGATATCTTCCTTCCCGTTTTCTTTATCCTCCTGTCTTTTGTACCCATCTTACAGACCAGTCTAATACGAGACATCATATGGCCTTTAGGCTCCTTCTCCCCCACACCTCGACAATTTACGCCTTTTTCACGATACTCTTTCATTATTAAACTTGTTCGAACAAAAAATTGAAACCCTCTCTCAAAGGCATACATATGGCAAAACCTTGTAAAATCTTCACCGCTTGAAAAAAACATACCCACAGCTGGAGTACGACTGGGTTCTTTTTCTCCGTTTGACCGATTATGAGAATCATGTTCATTTATATTACCGATATTGATATTAACCTCAACCTTAATCTCTACATACCCATGTTGTTATTAACCTCAGCCTCTTTATTAAGATCGAATGGCATAGCTGCTTCTTATGTTACATCGTTAGATTCTGCATTTCTAATTGAGTTAACCACATCGTTTACCACTTCATTAAGATCAATGTTCAAACGAGGGGACAAGTTTTCGCTTTCCATTTCACTGTCACAATGCCAAACACACTACTGTATTTTATTTCAGATGCGACAAAATAACAAAAGATACTATAAAATAATATTTTAATTTAATATTGACAAAATGTTCCTACGTATAACAAAAAGATCTTATAGAATAATATATTATTGACAACAGACAGCAAACAAACCTCGATTCCATTTAACAATTGCTTCCATTACAATGGAACCCAGAAACACTCCTTCAATTAAATAACATTTACATGAAACAATTATAAATACACAAATTCAAAACAACATGCAAAGCAATCTATTAATTTAAACGATTTACCCTTTCAAATCAATCTTTATAAAATTTCTAATTTTACCCAAAATTCAATTTTTTTAAAATCAAACAATGAAAACCCTAAATTATTAAAAACATCAAATTAGGAAATTTAAACGAAATAATTCAACAACAGAAAAGAATACCTGCGAATACTTGTGGCTGATTAACGAAATTGATATCCACACTTGAATAATTTCTTCACACTTCGTTCCCTTATTCAAATTGGTATGTTCTTTGCCAAGAAATTTTGGGGGAGAAGATGAGAATTTTGATGCTTAATTGGGAACTTAATTGTGTATTATCCATTAATTGATGCAGGAATTGTTGGCGCCTAGTGAAAATAATCCCGCTTAGCTTCCTTCTAATGGCACCCAGAGTGAAATTTTTGTCGCCCCTGCTTCCCTCTTCTTTTTTTTTTCCTTTCCCTCTTCTTTTTTCAGTTTCCCTAACTTCAAGGCTGAGTTGGCGATTACTGATTGGTGATGTACAATATTCTTTTATACACTAAGTGTACCTCTAACCTTTCTCTAATAATTTAATGGAATTTTTTGCTTAGAGGGTCTCAATCTGACAAAATTAACATTTGTAATGAGTCTAGGGGTATTAGTGCAATTTTCTTACAAATGTCAAGGATAAATGTTTTACCAATTTGACAAAATACAATGCATTTGAAAGTTTTTAGTGATACACGGTGTATTTTTCTAAATCTTAGTGGTACATAGAATAATATATATATTTTATTTTTCCTTTCATTTTTCTTCTGAACTTATGTGTTGAATATTTAATTATTATATTATCAAATTTTATTTTATTTAATTTTTTTTACCCAAACTTTAGAATTCACTGGTTCAGACGTTCACTTAATTCAACTCGATTGCTATTGTTTTCATTCAACATAAAATGGTACTCAGAAATTCCGAGTTATGGCGATTCTTTATCAAAGAAGCTTCCAATACATCAATGGCGGTCCTCAAGTTCTTCTGCTTCCTCCATGTCACTCGTACCTACGTTCTCGATGTTGCCAGCGTACTCTCTCTTTCTTTCTCAATTACCAATTCAATCAAAACTCCTAATCAATCAACCCCATTAATTGTATGATGAATATTATATTTCCAGATTCCAGGCGCAAGTATGCTTCCAACCTTTAATATCACAGGGAATAATGTAGTTCTAGTCGATCGAATTTCGCCTCGATTTAGCAACATTGCTACTGGAGATGTTGTCATTGTTTGGTCGCCTGAAAACCCTAGAAAAGTCATCACTAAACGATTGCTCGGTGTTGAAAATGATCGTGTCACCTATCTTGTTGATCCTAAGCACAGTGACGAATCTAACACCGTTGTGGTATGCTTTCTTAAGCTACTTGATTTTTGCTCTAATACTTTCTGCCATTTTGTTTAGTTTTTCTTTGGAGTAGCTAGTTATGTGGCGAATTTTGACCCTTTTCTCTTAGGCTTTGTTTGGTTCAATATTAGTAAAGGAAAGAAAGGGAAAGGAAGGAAAGGGAAAGGAAGGGAAGGGAAAAGAAAGGAAGAGAAGGTAAAGGAAAGAAACTATATCATCCAATGTTTGGTTTGATATTAGTAAAAGAATGGAATTGAGAGGAATCTGTTGTTTGGTATGACATTAGTAAAGGAAAGAAAGGGAAGGGAAAACTAATTTTAAGTTTAATAGATTTAATTTTTTTCTTTCCTCCCAAATTCCTCCAATTTTGGGAGGAAAGGAAAGGGAAGATTTTGTGAAGGGAGCTTTCCTTCCATTTCCCTTCATTTCCTATCAAATCCCATTTAATTTTTAAAACCAAACATAGGAATCTATATTTTTCCTTTCCTTTCTTTTCTTTTTCTCCCAATTCCTCCCAACCAAAAAGGGCCTTATCAAATTGTTAAATAACCCCATTTAATGTAGCAATTAAGACCCGTAGTATTTATACATTGTGATGTTAGGCCCATTTTCTATCAGATGATGTATCTCTTGAGTCTAATTTAAGATTTTCCGTTAGTTTGCTGCTCTCAATACCTGTCAAAGGAGAAATGTTGATTGACAGCATATATTCGACAATGTTGGTTTGGAGTATTAGTATTATGCAGCTAAAATTTACAGGAGAAATAATGATGTAAGGGGGCACTTTTATTATCATATTTTCACCTGAAGAGAGAATGACACCTTAAGAGGGTGTAATATCTAAAAAATGCATCATAAAATGTACATCTTGTTCATGGTTTGGTAGCTTAAAGTGATCGGGTGGGTTTATGAAAATGCGTGGTGGTGTTAGACAGTGAGATTTAAGATTTTGAAGTTATGGGCTTTATTTGCCTTTTTTGAGCTCTTTTACCCATCTTTCATGTATTGATGTTTTATGAAGAACTTCCAATCAGATTCCGTGAATGTATGAAATACTAATGTACTATCATGTTAATAATTGTGTTTTGCCTAGAACTCTACGCTGATCCACAGCTATAGGGATTTGTTGTCCCTTATTGAAGCTCACAAAGAATATGTTTATGCTGTTTGCTATAATACTCCGTATGAGTTTTTTGGGGCTTAGAATGTATCATACTGCAGTCCAGATTGAGTGATTGACAGCTTGATGCGGTGTTGAAATAATGGAATATTCCTAACCATGCTAATTTACATAATTGGGATATTCGTCAAGCTTGATTGATGAAGGTTTATATTTTAGATCAATATTTCCTAACCATATTGATGAAGGTTTATATTTTAGAAATTTATCAATGTCATATTGCAGACTACTCTAGGTGGTTATCTGCCAAAATAAGCTAAAGAAATGTGTTTATCCTCTGAGTTTTGTTAGACATCTTCAGAGTCTGCAAGCTTCTAGAAGTTTGTAATCAGTTAACTCAATGATTAACATGGGAGAACCAAGGGAGTTTGTTACCCTTTGTATCAAGAGAGTCCTATTCTGACCTACTTATTGTGACTTCTTGTGCTATGAATATTGACGGTAATCACAAATCAGTGTTCTGCTGTTAAATACTACGAGTATTTTATACATTTATATATAAAATTTCCCCCTGTTTTACATTTTTGCATATTAGCCGTGCTATCTGTCAAAATTTCCCACCCCTAAAATTATGATTTTCCCATTTTGTGTAGGTCCCAAAGGGGCATCTATGGGTGCAAGGAGATAACATATATGAATCAAGAGATTCAAGAAACTTTGGCCCTGTTCCTTATGGTCTTCTCTATGGAAAAGTATTTTGGAAAGTAAGTCATCAGATTAAATATTTTCTTATGCGCATCTTTCAAGATGAAACTTGCTTTGCTATCAGTTTCTAATAGAAAATTCTTGGTTTCACTGTTAGATAGTTCTTTTCTTGTTTACATATCAGAACTTTATGCTAGCAAATTATACTTTTATATTTCTGATTATTGTTAAGTGGAAGGGCTGAGGGGTCTTCATATTTGTGGTACATGGATACTCTGATAATCTCTCTTACATAAAAAACAAATTAGTAAGTTATCTGGACTTGACAAAAAATGTAGTGATTGGTGATGACGGTTGAATCTGAGTTTAAAGGATTACAAATTGCTACATACCTTCTAAAATTGTTCTTGACCATTAGATAGTAGGAGGCTTTATTCATTTAACTGTTAATCCTAAACTCAGTTATATCACCTATTACTCCAGAAATGATAAGCATAAATATTGACGATGACTATGACTATGAGCTAATTTGCTTTTCAATATTCTCTGAAGTGAATAAATTGTGAATCTTTCAACTATATATACTTAGTTAAAGCTTGTTTTTTACTGACTTGGTGATTGGGGCTTTATTAATTCATGATGTGGTTTTGAACATGGATGATTGTAGGCATTTTTCACTATTGCAGCTTGGATCTTTTTTATTTATTTATTTATTTATTTATTTATTTTTTATAATTTCTCTATATTTTTGTTTATTTGTATGGTGACTTGATTGGCAGTTCTTTGTCTTATCTGTGTTTATCTGATGTATCTTAGAGACTTAGATAATGCTTATCACACAGCTTTTTCATCTGTGTTTGAAACATGAATTATATGCTGAAACTGTTCGTTTTAGCTTTTAATTTATCTAGGGTGTAGTCATATAATATATTTTGGTTACATGTAAGAACTCCAACATTATAGAGCGGAAATTAGTGGCTAGTGAAATTCCATAAATTATTTCTCTGTCCTGCATGATCAAAGGTACAGTTTCTGCAGGGGCTGCAGCTGCTTGGCTATAATGTCACATAGCATAAGTAGGCATGGTATTCTTTTGTAAAGGATCAAACATAGTTTTTGAAGAAAATCAGAAGCCAGCTTTTATCTGTAAGCTGTGACTGTGAGAAGAAACCATATCCTTTTGATTTGTCCATGCTGTGTTATTGGGGTTATGATTTTAGTTTTCATCCGATTATTGACTAACCTGAGCTTTTGGCATTGATTGCCGCTCTCTTCACTCAATGACCAATATTTGGAAATACTTCCGTTGCTGGATCTTTTTTATTTTCTGTTTAGTACAACCATTTGTCTGTTACAAGTAAGAATGTCTTTCTACTAGCCACATTTCATCTCCAATCGGATATGTTGCCAGATCTGATAATGTCGTATTCATGCTAGCTTAAAGCTACATTGTGGTTGGATTGATGTTATTGAATCTAGGTCTAAAGTAGCTGAATGCTTCCCAATTCTTCAGGGCAAAAGTTTGGGAGTCAGGTTTGAGCTGTTAGTGAGACTTAAGTCTGAGCTGTTAGTCAGGAATTTCAATCAAGAGCTGTTAGTGAGATTTTCAATCAAGCATGCAAGTTTGGTAGTCAGATTTGAGCTGTTAGTGAGACTTAAGTCTGAGCTGTTAGTCAGGAATTTCAATCAAGAGTTGTTAGTCAGGAATTTCAATCAAGCATGCAAATTTAAGCGAATGCCTTGTGTGTGTGTGTGTGTGTGCGTGTGTTTGTATTCAAAGTTGTAGTTACATGTTCTTTTGTTGGGGAAGATTTCTTGTCTAAATTTGTTATTTGAAAATTTTGTAGATTTGGCCGATGAAAGATTTTGGACCATTGTGATTAGCTCCTACAACCCAGAGAAAGGTATGCATAATGCATTTAATATTCAATCCAACAATAGAAGTTGTTCAGCTGAGGTTTCTTTTTTTTTTTTTTTTTTTTTTTTTTTTTTTTTTTTTTAATTCTTATTTTCTATTCCAATTTCCACTGTCAGGTATGATGAACAGACTTGGTTTGACTTTAAAGATGGCAATGTGTAAAGGTCTGAAGGATGTTATCATATCTTAATCTGACCAAAAAGACCTTTAAATGACGAGTGATTCCTGCTAAATAATTCTTGACTGGGTATGTTTGGCAGCATGTTGAAGGGAGGTCATATGAGCTTAGGCTGCCTTCTACAGATCTATAATCCATTCCATTACATTCTCATACTGAAATATGCTCTATTAGTTTTGTGCCAAATATGGAATTGGTTTCAAATGGAATTGTTTGTATTTACACTAGATATACTTAACAACATTGGACTTCTGTCTTTCTAAAATGCTCCTCATTTTCTGTTCCAGTTTCTGCAGAAGAAATTTGTGAACTTTTGGTTTGCTGGATCCAACTAATGAGTCCTTTGACATAACACAAGTATGCCTCATGGTTTGGTGGGGTACTTTGCTGGCAGTGATCGGCAAAATGCACAAAATTCAGGACAGGATGTAAATGCACAAGTTGTTGCATTATTTTTTACACTGAAAAAACATTCGCTAATATGTTTTAGTAGTAGTTAGTACAGTAGCAGGTTGTGTCTGTACAAATTTGGAATGGAGATATTTGTAAAAGCCTTATCTTGTCGATATTACTCCGTATTAATTCTTGTTCAACTCCCAGTGGTGTTCATTGCATGGAGAAGTCCTTCGCAGCATGCAATTAGTCATTTTGGTGAATGTGATAAGCTACACCTGTTGGCCAGCTCCCTCCCTTGTCCTTTGGTTTGATGATCTTATGGTAGAGTACAGGGTGCATCACCGAGGCTTACATCGTTGTTCGTTGTTCGTTGCTCGTTGATCGCATAAATTTCCGATTGAGCAGTCTTCTGCATAGAATGGCTCCTAAAAGTTATTGTAAACAGCGGATTTTATTGTGAGAATTTTACACATTTTGACGCTTGATCATATTTCTTGAGATATGGAGTACTTTTTGTGGTAAATTCACATTGCTGTAGGCATGTAAAACACGGTTTCAATACCAAGTAAGGTTGTGAATTTGCACTTTAATATAATAGTAGAAAATCACTAATTTTGTTCCTCCCATCTTTAAAACTAATAATACAATTTGCACTTTAATAATTGCATGATTCCCCAATTCACTTTTTTGTTGCAATGATTTTATTTTTTTCCATAATAATAATTGATGCTCATGAGCTAAAAGTGAACTCATCAGTGGGTGACTCACCAGAAGGTAAGCTCACAATTTAAGTCGGCTTTAGCAATCATGAGGCGAGAGAACAGTGAGCAGGAGGATGGCAGTTGGGACTTGGTTTGGAGAGTGAAGGTGCTGCAGCGGGTTCGCGTTTTTCTCTGGTTGGCATGACAGAGTTATGTGCAATGTTAATAGATACAAAATAACTCTGGTTGATGATCTAAGTGTACATTAGTAATCATGGGGAAGAAACCACACTAAATGTCCTAAGGGACTGTAGGCCGCAAGAGAAGTGTAGATATCGAGTGAGAAACAGAGCTACAGATTGACTTGCTAATCAAGGAATCAAACAGAACAACAAAGTGGAGTCAGTTTAGTTCTTAACCTTAGTCTTAGGTTGTATTTTACATGGAGTTAGTGTACCTTTTCCTCATTTTGATCCCCCTTTGTTTTTTCTTATCTATGTTTGTTTTAGGGCCTAGCACCTCATTTGCACCAATAAAAAAATCATGATATTAAATTTTTAAGTTTAGTAATATATATTTTCCATTATTATTAATCAAACTTTGTCAATTACTCCAAAATTGAGAGAGTATAATGAAAAGTATGGTTGTAGTCATGAATTATTTATTTGTTTTCAATTTCCTGGAGTTCAATTTCCAACTACCATATGCATTTTTATGCTACTGTAAAATTTGCTGGGCAAAAAAAGAAGGAAATCCTCTAGTGTTATCATTTTGAACTTCTCAAGCATTTCCAGAATCTTGCATTAACTAACAATTAAAATTGGATAACCTTCACTTTAAAGAACTGAGAAATAATGGAAGTGAACTGTTAGAAAGTATATCTTACAAAAATTATAGTAATCTTTAATTTAACAGGTTAGGACAATGTGACAATTTCTTTATAGATGCATGTAAACTATGATTATACTCGCCATAGTGACAGGTTTCACCGAGCTGAGCTACAAAATTTCACAATTTTCTAGGTCAAGAGAGAGGTTGGCTACCTTCCAGCATCCTCCAACCCTCCCTTTGAGGATCAGAAGAGTGGATCTACTATGTACAGATATTTCAAAGAAAAACAATTGAATTACAGGGGTATAACTCTGGTTGTTGAGTAAGCACCACACGATACGATAAAACCAGTTTCTTGCAAAACTCAAAATGTCAAATTGCCCAACCTTTTGCTAGTGAAGTGCAATATTCTGGCCAAGAAATTTCATCCAGGTATGTTTCAGACCACTACATTAGATGGGACTTGCTTTTGAACCCTGTGACAGTAGGAAGTGTGAGTTATTTTGGACTTTATTGTGTATAATACAACAAAATTAGACGTTTTTGGTGACAGCATAGCCATCAAGGAAGGATGCAAGCAACTGAATGTCTGAAAGCAAACCTGATTTTGCAAGCTTGTTACTGCAGTCCAGCGTTGAGGATTATCTACTCCTGTTGATCCATCACTAATGAAGGTTACTATTGTTGATTCTTCAGCTCTATCGGCCACCCTAGAAGGTGGTAGCTCTCTCATGACCCACAATACAAAGGCTGCGGGTGCTGATGAACCTGCATGCAAGAGCTAACTGAAAATCATAATCTTCATCAAAATTTCTTATATGTCAATACTGGCAAGGACTACAAAAGCTTCTGTCAGCAAGTAAACAGGGATATGAAAACAGTCGAACCAAATTATAAGAAACCAAATTATAATCCACATTTCCAATCGGAGTCTTTTAGAAAATGATCTACTATATTGGGATAAACTACCACAGAATGCAACCAGTTAGTTTGTGATGGAGGAAATACATTACGAAGTATTAGAGGATAAACATTATTTTAAATGCGCTTCCATAAGAAAGCCAGAAATTTAGCATTCCTCTACATTCCTAAGAACCCCAAAACATGCTATGTGAATAGATCCTAAGAAGCAATTGATGTATGAGCTCTTGGCTATCTTTCTATCGCCCCATTACAAAATTTTGTTAATCAAAATAGTTCAACTCCATAAAACTATACATCAAGAACCTTCTTTCTACTTCATCTCCTTTTGCTTTACTTTCTTATTTTACAGATGCTGTGCACAGACTACTCAATTATCACTTGCCTGCAGGAGATGTGCATTCTATAAAGGCTAAATAGAGAAAACAAAGATAATGAAACAGAAAAGTAAAGATGCAGCAATATATCAACAAAGAAAGAAGGCATTCCACTACATTGGACATGCTTTTCACCATCTGATGACAGCAAAACTATGCCTAAAGATTTGCGAAAAAGTACCCATCTACATCACATGCTTAAAAAAACGCTTATCAGTCCTTGGGTCTGGATTATAATTGTGTACTTTGAACCAGATGTTGAAGAAACCAGTCCAGGGAATCTCAATTTAAGTCAGATAACATAATAGTGGTGTTCACAGCTCAACATTGTTACAAAGTTTCCCTTGGAGTTCTAATCCCATTGAAGAATAGCTAATAGACGAATGTTAACCATGATTGCCACTTCTATGTGTGTATAAATTATGCAGCAACAAAGTAATGATTCAATGTTAAAAACAATGAAGTGATGAGAAAAATTTCAAGTACCTATAAAATAGTACAACATCAATAAGATACCAGTACAATACACACTAATGTGCTCTTGGCGCCAACGATAAAGAACCTGTTGCAATAGCATTGCAGAACTGTTAGAGGTTAATATGCTACAAAAAAATACAACCAGGAATGGGCAATCCATATCCAAGTAGGATAGCTTATCTGTATGAAAGTAAATATGGAATCCAAGATTCCAAGATAAATTATTAAAAAAAATTCAAGACATACCGGAACATCAGTAAGAAGAGCTACAAGAGCACTTGTTGTGAAACACACAAGAGAAACAACGGCAAGACCAGTGACCTGCACATCAGAAAGTGTAATCAAATGAAGATAAAGATGTACACATCTATATTTCTAACTTCTAAGGGATGCCCTTCCAGCAAATGCATCTCTGGCGCATACACCTATATAAAATATATAACTAGATGCTAGTGTAACATGCCATTAATCACCATTGCAGATTTAAATATCAACATACGCACAAAATCAATAACTTTAAAATGTCGAAATGAAAATGTGTACCCCAGAGTATGTACTCCCATAGCAACTTTGAAGCTAATGGGTACTTCCCTAAAGGTCTAAAGGTTAAAATTATTCTCTTATTTCTCCCTTAGCCTCAAGACCTCTTACCCAAGCTAAAACTATGATAAACAGTATATCTTTAACAGAACTAGCATTATTTAACCCTCATATTCTAACTCTTACATCAGAAAAATAAGAACACTCAGTAGGTTTCTTGTGCTGTTTTAAGATTCAACAAGTCAGTATTTTAAAACAGCACAAGGATATTATACCCTTTATTCCCATAGAAAATAAATTAAAACAGCACAAGGAAGACCATACCTTCCACATCTCAGATGAAGCACCTTCAGATCTTACTTTGCTCATTTTCAGATATATTAGGAGTCCTGAGCATGAAATTAAGATACTGAGTACAAAATATGAATAGAGACAATATATAGCGAGAAATTGTAAGAAAGAGGACGTAGAGATATATCACAAAATCAAAATAGTTCACAGCAATTGGAACATTCAGCAAATGAGTATCTTGTGGACAGCTTTGCCTCATTATAATTACATAGCAAGAGCTATGATCACTAAGACAGTATCCCAAAAAATTAGTAATACTACCAGATATGTATTAAATACCATTTAAAAACATCTATTTAAAAAAAAGAAGAAAAAAAAAAAAAAACTATGCTGTGGTCAGATTAGTATAAAATTGTTCTGACACACCAAACATTTGCTCAGTCTACAAACTAGAGTGTCTAGCAGCTATTAGGTGTCTTTAAGCTGTATGATACCTTACAGCCTTTGCTTTCAGGGGCCGTTTGGTATGAATATTGGAAATGAAGTGGAAAGGACACAAATAAGGAGGAAAGGAATCATATAACTCTACCTCTTCATTTGTTTGGTTTATCCATGGTAAGGAATCACTTAAACCTAACTCTCTTTATTTTTGTTTGAGGAAAGGGTAATTGTTACCTTAGGTTTTAAAGAGGTAACAAATGGGTGGAAACCAATACCCTTAGGTAATGGTAGATGTTAACCAAGCCCTCTTACCAAACACTTGGTAACGGGGTAATGATTTAATAGAATCTGTTTTCAACCCAAAAAACACTCATACCAAACATGCTCTTAGAGTGTCACAGATTTGACACCAGAAAAAATGCAAGGTTTCCTACCTAATACCTTTACGATGTTTCTTCATAGTCCATATAGCAGATTACAATATATTCCATCTACAACTAATATAAAAATTCAACCAACAATCCCTTTAGAATATAAATTAATTAATAAATAAACAAATAAAAACAAAACAATCATCAAATACACAAATCAGAAAGTTTCATTTTTGTACTTAAAGCTAGGAATTGAGATTAGAAATTTTTGCTGTCCAAAAAAACCAACCAAAGCAACCATGGCTTAGAGACAAAAGAGATCATTATAGAGTTACTCCAATTAATTAATGAAAAATATGTTGGTTTGTAGTTAATTTAATTACTGGCCTAGTACAAATAACAATATATGCCATCTAAAAAATAGATCACATTTATTTCAAACTGTTTCAGAATTTCACGAATACATGAGACCATTACTTGGATAATTCTATGCCAAATCAACAGTGCCAATTCAAAAACACATGGCAACTGCCAACTATTAAGAGGCAAGATGAGGGCTCAAGGAGAGTGATTCGTACACACCTCAAAGCTACAAAGGCAGTTCCAATGACTTCTTGGTCATATTTCTTCGTAAGCTTAACTTTAGAATGAATGCATCAAATATTATGACAAAAAGTCCTCCATAAGGCCTATGTGAGGGATAGAGGATACACACAAAAAACATATTCCCTGCTTCCTTGTCTTTCAATTTTTAATTTCCAAGATATCCATTGCACTTCTATTTGGATTCAAACAAAGCTTTATATTAAGATACTTTACTCTTCTTTCTCCAGCAACACAACCCTTTTCTCTCTCTCCATCACATCAATAAGTTTATTAGAGCTTTTCTTTTACTAACCCATGTGTGAAAGAATTTATGGAAAAAAGGGAGTAACAACATATAATTAGTAGAAGAGGCATTTATCCAATCCATCAACCGAGAAAGACACCTACGTTCCACTAACAGGGGCGCGCTTCTTTATTTAAAAATAAATAAATTATGAAATGAACCGACATAGAAAAGTGGTCCCCTTTTGTGGCAGAGTGTGCAGCATTCCTGCACGAGGGAGAGCGATGTTGCCATTCAGAAGGAACACAAGAAAAAGAAAAAAAAGTCTTTAAGACAGTTCCAAAGAAAAAGTGCTACCTATAGTTCATTATAAGTAGACAGTTACTTACTGACTTAGAGTGAGAATACTCTTTATATGGCACTTATCCCAGAATACCCAACCTGATTCAGAAACTCCAACTGATTGAGCCAACTTCCTTTCAACTACAACTGATTCTGAGACTAAACCAGAGAATAGAATGAAGAAAGCTGTTAATTCCCTTAAGCTTCGCATAAGCGATTACATACCACAAGCTTAAGGTATTCTAACCAGTCTCGGTAATCGATTCACTTTCACTCACTCTCGCGTTACTACGCTAGCTTAAATAGTCATATTGAGTTCATCACCAGTGACATAAGCAGTGGAGGTATATGTATATGCTGTGGTGAGAATGGCTATTTACCTAACTTCTTAGGATCCAACTCCTGTTGAACCAGTAACATACTACTACTGATACCACTTACAAGAAAGAGCTATAGCAACACCCCTCTATGACAAAAACAAGGAATCCTTTAAGCAAGTACCCTTTCTAAAAAAGGTCATGTCCATACTCTCTTTCAAAAGCATAGCTTAAGCATGTAAACAACCAAATGCATAGAGGACAACAAAAAGGTCATGTCCATACTCTCTTTCTAAAATGGTGGAGCCAGAGCTCATTCTCATTATGTGATTTAAGGAAACAGCGGTACAAATTTATAGGCAACTCATGGGGTCAGCAGCTGCTTCAATTCTTCTGGTTATTGACAGGGGTCTAACTAATTTAAGTCAGCATCAGGTTGATCTTTGCAGTAAATGTCCAAGAGATCAAGGAAGCCTTGTTCAATATGAACTCTCTGAAGGCACTCGGGTTATAAGGGCTAAATGATCATTTATTCAAAAGCATCTGGATTATTCTAGGTAGATAAGCCCTAATATCGTCTCTGCAATTCAAAACTTTTTTTTTCATGGTTAGCTTATGACTCAGATTGATTGCCCATATATTAGCTTGATTCCAAAGATGCCTAATGACATCTTAAGGACTGGCGTTCAATTGTTAGTATATCTGTTCAGTAAAAAAACAACTCCAAAGTTCTCACAAACAAAATGCTGAGGGTATTGACTTCATTAAAAATGGAGTAATTATTGGCAATATTTTTCTCAGTGAGATAGTCATAGCCCACAAGAGGAAGACCAACTTTCCTAGATGTATGCTTAAAATTGACTTGTAGAAAGCTTTTGATTTGATAGAATGACCATTCATCAAGTATTCGTAGACGCACTTTGATTTTCTCATCATGGCTTGCTTGTTGAGTCTCTTACACATTCAATGTCTATGGGAATCTCACTGACCTCTTTATAGCAAAGAAGACTTGAGGCAAGAGGACCACATATCCCATTGTTATCACCATGGAGTATTTGAATATACTCCTTCCATATTTAAATAATTGTTCCACTTCTCCGGACACGGAGTTTTAGGAGGAGGAATAGTAGAAAGCATTCATTTATGATTGAAGTGAGGTAGGTTAAAGTATTAAAAAAATAAAATAAAAAATAAATAAATAAAAATCTGAAAAGGTGGGTATAAGTGGGAAGGAGAGAGAATATGAAAAACATTAAAATATGATATGAGGGGACCACTAAGGGGGAGGAGAATAGTAAAATAATGTTAAAAGTTTCCAAAAAAAGAAAATGGAGCAATTATTTACATACGGCCGCAAAAGAAAAGTGAAGCAATTAATTAAGTACAATGGGAGTAGCTTTTAGTTATATTTCAACTAATCAAAAGTTTAGTTTCACCCTAAGTGCAAGAAGTTGAATCTCAATCATTTTTGTTTTTGCTGATGATTTATCAACATAATCTAAAAGAGATTTGGAGTCTGTCAGACATTTGTATACAGCTTATTATGAATTCACAAGTGCTTATGTATAGAAGGCTAATCTGAACAAATATTGCATATACTTTGTTGGAGTTAACTCTGAGTTGCAGGATGCCATTCCCAATAATAGTCATTATTCTAAGGATGAACTCCCTTTCAAGTATCTAGGTGTTCATCTCTCTACCAAGAAGCTATAAGTGATACAACACAGCCTCTTGCAAAAGTGTGCACTGGTTAGCCATGTTGTTATCTAGTTATCTTATGCAAGAAGATTCTTGTTAATAAGATTAGTGATCTATAGCCTTCAGAATTTTTGGTGTCAGGGTTTTTTTCATTCCTACGAAAATTTCTCAAGCATAGTCAATCTTCACACAAAACTTGTTCTTAGACAATCTGCTCTAACCTGGGATTTTATGTGTCTGCACTAGTTGGGACCTCACATGTACCCTGCCCAGGAATCAAGCAGCGATTTGTAAATTGTTTGGAATTTGACTCAATCCGACCGACTTATAATTTTTAGAAAGGGTGAAAGGTGCCAATGAAAGTGCCTTTGATGAAAACTATTTGCACCTCAGCCTCTCCCAAATGTGTATTTTCACTAGTTAGCTCTCTTTTTGGGAAAGCTTGCAGCATGTGAGAGGCTGCTGAAATTTGGACTGATAATCAGTGCGTTCTAAGCTTGTAATAGGAAGAACATTAGGACCATTTACTTTTCTACCGTGAGTACGCTTGTATTTAGTAGGGTGAATACTTATTAGTATTGGAAATTGCAGGTTTGCTGTATGCTGTGACTCATTGCAAAGGTTTTTCATCTCATCATTTACTCTACCGCATGACTACCATTGCAATTTATCATATATGGAGGGAAAGAAACAAAAGATATCTTCATAATAAACAAAAAAAGTGTTTATCTAGTGGCATTTTTATAAGTAAATCAACAACTTTTATTAAATGCGGGTTCCACAAATGTTGATTTATTTACGAAAATGACATGCTGATTGGGATATTTTATTGATTTATTTACAAAAATGCCACTAGATAAACGATTTTTGTTAATCTCAAAGGTTAACTAGGGCTCCCTTGTTTTCAAGGTAGACTCAGATTCACTAAGTGCTTCTGCGCAAAAAAGCTCAAAGGTGTTAAACTATATTACTCGGACTCTTCATTTTACCTCAATTACCCGTGTCGGACCCTCGACACTTGGACATGGGTATGACACTTGGACACTTCATTTTAGTTCAAAATCATAGAAATTTTTCACAAAATAGCCGAGTCGGACACTTGGACACGTACCCGTGTCGGACATGAGTACCCGAGTCCGAGTAACATAGGTGTTAAAAGCTATTTGTAATTTGTTTCTTCACCCCCCACCCCACCCCCCCCCCCCAAAAAAAAAAAAAAAAAAAAAAAAAAAAAAAAAAAAAAAAAACATATTCATTATGAACTTAATTCATAATGTTCAATTTTGTTGAACCTATCATCATTTACTCATAACAGCCACTTTGCAAATCATTGGCACTTTCTATACATCTCTAGTCAATACTCTAAACTAGCACCATGCTCATCGATCGAAATCATCATAACATGACATTAGAGAATCAAGAAAGGGTAACATAGTCTTGAGCATGAATTTTCTATCATAATTTCTTGAAAGGACAGCTTATCCTCCTACCTATACACTCCTTTCTATGAATTCTTTTTTTTTTCCTTTCTAATCATATCTCAAATATGAAAGTGAGAACAATAGCAGAAGTACAGAACCTCTGCATAAGGTACTCTGAGCAAGCGATCAGAGAGCACTTACCATAACATGCCAATGCCCCTCCCAGCAAAAATGTGCCGACTGCAAAAATATCCACATAGACCTGCACAGTGTTTCTGAAGTCATTCTCTACCACAGTGTCATCAACAATGTTGCATTTACACAAACAAGAGATTATCACAAAGTTAGATAACACCAGCCAAAAATAGTCTTCCATTTTCACTCATTACGTAAAAAAAAAAATTTTAAAAAAAAAAATCCGTCAAAATCTTTTTACTAATTTCAGTAAATATATAAGATTTGCAGTAATTAGTAGAAAATTCTCAATATCTTTGTTCCTACATAGACTTTTCTGTAATTGCTCATTCTTCAAATCAACAACTTGGAAAAAGAACTGAACATGTTAAAATCAATTCAGACCTAAAATTTGATTGGAAGGAATCCAAAACCAGATTAGACATCAACAATATCTGTCAATTCAATCATATTTAAATTGACTCAATTACCCAACAGAATTTTGCACATCCCACCAAGGACCCATACCAAAATCATATAATGCGGAAAAGAGCCATAACTGAAGGCAACCTGAAATAGGTTATGAAAAAAGAAATTCGAAATGAAAGGTTTGCGATTGGCACAGAAGAAAGCATAAAAATCTAGAACAGAGGGAGAAGTTAAGAAAAGGCAAATTGCTGGGAATTGAACGACATATCCAAATGTCCGAGTTTGGTATACAATCAACCTGAAAAGATACTTACCCAACTCCACATGGACCTAACCCACACCTAAAACCAACTTCAATACTCCCTCCGTGTTTTTTAAATGTTACACTTTGACCAGCACATAGTTTTAGGCAATTTAATTGTTATAAATAACATCAGAGGTAAGTGGGGTAGTGGGGTAGTTGGAGTATTAAAAAATTGAAAAAGAAAGATGGTGTGGTTAAAAATTTATTGAAAAGTAATGAATGTGAGAGGAAAGAAATAATATTAAAAAAAAAATTGTAGTGGGTTTGGATAGGGACCATAAAAGAAAAGAAATATCATATTAAAATATATCTTTTTGCCAAAAAGGGAAGTGTAACACTTAAAAAAAACACGGCTGCATTTGGTAAGTGTAACACTTAAAAAAAACACGGAGCGAGTACACAAATACTATCCGAAAACAATATGAACCTATTCAAATTTCTCATGGCCCAATATAGAGTAGACACGCCTTGAATACCGACGCTTGGGTAACTATTGAACCTTCGCGCTGACCATTCGCTTTCTAAGTAGCAAAACTGCTTCTCTTTGCGGATTTGTAATGGAAAAGGAGCCATAGCTACAACAAATTTATGTCCACAAAGCTACAGCTTTTTTTTATCAAGTGAATACTGAAGTCATATCTGTTAATAATGTTTGATAGAGAGAATTTTGAGGAAGCATTTACCAGATGGACACATTAAGTTCATTTGACCATGTGAATGAAACAAAATTTTGGTAGCTACTCCTTCCGTCCCAAAAAGGTTTACATACTTTGCTAGGAACATGGTTTTAGGAGAATAATTATTGGGAGGTAGTGGGAATTTGTTTATCAAGGATTAAGAGAGAAAAATTAAATGATTTATGGCTATGTTCAGTCAAGCTTATTTAAGCAAATATTTGCTTATTTCATAATTGATCTGATCTATTGTTTGAGATTACGTATCGCTATACATCTTAAATTCCGTTATTAAAAATATTATGGAAATTTTATATTTGGAAACAACACATTCATAAGAATTTAATGACATCACATTTGATATTTTATTTAAGATTAGTTTACAAATAAAGTCAAAGTTTTGTCAAATCTGGAAATTAGATCAAATTAGATCATGCACATAGTCATTATAGGTAAAGTTTTAATTTAGGTTTGTGAGAAAAAATAGGTGTGATAGGCGATAGTGAGTATGGAGTAATTTTTTCAATTATGTTGTCTTACTCCTAAATACATGTAAAGTAACAAAGTGTATAAAGACTCTAAATTAATTGGGGCAATCCAAAATAAAAAGTGTGTTAATCTTTGAGGGACATAAGATGTAGTATTTAGTAGATAGTAGATACAGTTAGCAGACTAATCCAGATATGCTAATTTTTGAAGTGCCCACCAAAGAATTGTATTTCCAGGTAAATCATTACTTTAAAGACTAAAGACAGCAAGCAAGTTCAATTGTTGCAGATTTCATACCAAAATTCCAATCTAATTAGTGAAACATAAAACTGAATGAAGGAGATCAAATACAAAAAAGAAATACACAAATGGCCCTACATGTCATTTTACCAAATTCAAAAGCTAGTCACTACAGATGAGGCAAACTTGTATTGGCTTCTTACATCAAGATTTTTTTTTAACAAGGGAAAAGATGAGCTATTGTAAATATTTTGATGTTAATGTGACAGATACAGATGAAAAAAGGAGAGACAAGATCGTTATAATATGGTCAGATGACTGGATTATTTGTAAAGCAACACAATATAGTTTAAAGCTTTCAAATATAGCTTAACTTCACACAGGAAAGACTGTCAATATACCCATTACATTTTCTACAAGTTGCACAAGACAAAGATGGGTTTCACCCAAATTTCCTCTAACTAGGCTACTCAACCTCCACATACACAAATACAAGAGCATAATTGCACACATAGAACACGTACTCAAAAACTCATACCCGAGCAACAGTTGATGAATCAATTGGATTCCTTCCCATCCCAATCCAAATTAGCACAGCAAAGGCAGTCATTAGAACAAGAACTACGACCATGATCTGGAATAGAAATAAAAATTGTAAAAGAAAGCTCAATAAACATATGGCCTGTAAGCTTGCTTAAATTAGGATTCATAACATGCTTTAGGTTGATGCAACGTAAAATATATAAACAACCTTAATGTAATATTATCAATGACATACCAAAATAACAAATCTTTGGCGGCTTCCAACATGAAGTGATGGAACAGGTAGACAATTTTTGTTACCATCAATGTTTGATAAAGGTGGCTTACTGGTGGTCTTATCCAACAAAGCTTCACAAGAACTACTGTCTCCCTCATCCTCTTCATCATCAGCTTGATGGCAAAGATCCACCCTAAAATAAAGCCAGCAAGAGAGCACACAATAATTTATTAACAGCACATTGGTGTAGAACTTGACAAACAAAAGAACGCAACAATCATGTCAACCTATTCTAACATGATAAATGAAATGAGAAAATTTTCACAGGATAAAGTAAAGTAATTCCAGTATTAGCAACAACAATAGCAATAATTAACATACCAGTATGACAGAAGCAGAAGAAATGCTGCAAATAAAAGGATCTTAGGGAAGGCTGCATAAAAAAAAACAAAAAATAGTTAGAAAAAAATAATAGTTAGACGCTATATCAGAGTCAATTCGTAACAAGCTTGATATTTACCCATGAACACAAAGCCGCAGGAGCTTGACCAGCATGACCATCCTTTGCAAGTAGCGACGAGAGTTAATACAAAGAAAACAACATACCCTGCAAGAAAATATAGATCTTTTTTTGTAATTTTGTTCTCATAAAAGATACCACATACCAACAGTTTGCACAAATCGAAAACAAGCGGACTTTTTTTATTAAATACATACAAAACCGTACAAATAAGCACTAAATATATGACAAAATCGAACTCAACAGTCAATACTCTTAATTGACATTTCATGAAAGGAGAAACAAAACTGTTTTTTTTTTTTTTTTTTTTTTTTTGACGGAGAAACAAAACTGTTGAGAACCTTATGTTGATATGTAAATCTTTCTTAATTTAACTTTATACCACTAATTAAAATATGGAATCTTAAAGAAGATAAGAAACAAAGATCCTTAACACCAGCACATATAGTTGATTAGGGGTTCTAGGTTAACAAATGTTACGGATCTTCATAACCTACAGGTTTTCAGCTTGACTGGTCTTAATGAAACTGGTCACAACATCCCATTGACCCATTCATCAAACACAAGAAGGAAATCAGGGAAATTAACTATAAATATCTTAAGAACCAATCCACTGAACACCAAGCAATTTAATTTATTTCTTCCTTTTTTTGGTTATATATGTAGTATCAATGTTCCTTCCCAAAATATGAAGTGTGCAAGAAAGAAAAGCCAAGTTGAGGTCATAACCATCTTACAAGTAAATAGCCATCCTACAAGGTTACAAGGCCAAGATTTTGACATCTTTCCAAGGCCCCATAGCACACTTCCCACTAAAGTAAGCTATAGGCTTACAAGACTTTGGTAAAGCAGTTTTAATAATTTAGTTGGTGTACAGGCTAGGAACCTACTAGACATATTGGCAACCTTACAATATTGGCTTAAAAAAGAGTTAACATCACACAATTTAATAGATGTTGAACTATGTCACAAAAATCAAGATTTGACACTAACACAAGGCCTTGGCTAAGAAAAGGTCAATTTTATTTACACAGTGCCTGTAAAAGTTCAGAAGAAACTCCTGGTGATTGGGAACTTCATATGTGCCAGCACCTCCAGAATAGTCATGAATTCACAATTAAGGAAAAAAAGACCCAAGACAACAGGAAGAACAGAAGATGACAAAAGGCATAGTCTCTAATATATAACAGCATGAAGTCAAACTATTTTTTCAAGCATCAACAAGGAATTAAAAAGATATGCATCACAACAAAACAATCTTCTTCATAAATCACTTAAAGCAGCAAATAAGCAAGTTCCATACAGGACATCAACTAACTTACCCAAATTGCAAAGACCAATCATGAGATGAAAGACCTGCAATACAAAGAAACTTGATTTAGTTTACGTCAGCTTGAAGAGCAAGCACAAAGAAAAAATACATTATAATGGGTTTTGGTTAGTGCTCATTTTTTGTAATCGGAAGTATTAAAAATCTAAAACTATATCTAGCTCTCCTCTACATGAATTCAAGTTACAACAATTCTAGAGAACCGACAAAATAAGGCGGTAAGTCAATACAACTAATATCAAACACATAATTGTGTTCATTGATCACTTGAATAAAACCATAATTTAAAATTTGTGTACCAAACACCCTACCCCCCCCCCCACACCCCTCTCCCAACCAAAAATAATCTTTAACTAGAAGTGAAGAATTGGTGCTGCAATACTCATTAAATTTCTCATACACTGTTTGATAAGTCTTATTTGTTGTCAAGTACAAGAAAGCTAGCTTCCATAAAAACTCTGATTATAGAAGATGGATGAGAGATTAATCATAGGATAAACTCAACACTATACTACAGGTGTCCTAAACTATAATTTCACTACCATATATTACAGTTATATAAGAGTCTCTAATGCCAAGTAGTCATTTTGATTACACCATACTACTAGTCATTTCATGGACAAGGTCGTCCCAACTATTATGGTGGCCCTGTGAAACTGAGATAAAAATAGGCCCTTTTTATATTAAAAAAAAATTTGGCTTAAATGTTAAGGCCTAGAGATGGATAGCATTCCATAATTTGAAAGACATTGTAGCTCATGGGATAAGAGTAATAAGACAAGAGCCTTTGACATCAGAAAGTTTTCAATAGTGACAACCATAATGTAATACCCAAACCCTAGTAGCCTAATCATCACAATAGTAAGGCCAAAGCACTAGAACTTAAGAAGAATAGAAAATAAACAAACAAAAGCTACAAATAAGCCAAGTTTAAAGTAAATTAAGAATGTGGAAAGACGATTGAATATGATTGCAAGACTTACCTTTTGCCGGGTCCAACCAAGTTGCGCACTTCTAGAGTGGATCCTCACCAACTAAAGAGCATAAAAGAGCACAAAGAACATATATGTTAAATAGATAGGTAGGCATCATAAAGAGAAAAGGTAAGATATTACAAATAAAACTAGTCGAAGCAAAGCCCAAAATATGAGGAGGACAAAAGTAATTTAACAAGATATTTCTCAATCAACAAGGTTCACTATGCTTTCTTGACAACCTTTAGCAGTTAAAATTAGGGTTAAGTCACAGAAAAAGAAAAAAAAAAGTTGTTATAGGCCAGTAAACAACCCAAATCATCCAAAATATATTACCACCAACACCTCACCATTGTGAGGGTTCTTTGGTATCCCATCCAATCATCCATCATGCATGAAAGCCGCAGAGGAGGAAAACAGAGATAAGGGGCAGTGAGATACTCAAACACACACGTGAAATAACCATAAAAACGCCAAGGGTTAGAATTGATAACAGCTTCCAGAATCTCTCCTGTGCACTGTCACCATAAGGTTGTTTAAAGATCCATGTTCTAAACTTCTAATCAACATATTGCAGTACAAAACCAAACTTGCTATAACCTAATTTATAGATTTGGCCTCCCTATGTTTGACTGCTGATAATTAAAATTCCTAAGAATAGTATTTTGAATAAGTGATGCTGCAAACACAAGGGAACCACGTAGTACATGAGCCAAACACATTGAATCAACATGGTGTACAATCAAATCACATGGATGGCAAAATTACACTCAATGGCACAAACTTAGGGGTAAATGCAACCATTGCACCAATCAAATCTCAAGAATTAAAACGACAACAACTTGGTCACTAAAGACAACCAAATGATATTCCGGTGACTGGAGTGGGTCCGATATGCCAGAAATCCAGAATCCATAGAAGTACAATACTCATAAGAATTATTTTTTTCATGTTACATTTCAATTTAAGCTTCTCTCCTTCACGTAGCTAAATCATCAACCCGTCCCATGGCCTATTTGATGCTTGCCATGTCTGCGCTTCTTTCTTAGCTCTAAAACCCACTTGGAGTCTGATGATGCCTTAAATCCAAAGCATATATGGTATCTTCCCAAAAGATGCAAAAGTTGAAAACACCAATAAATACTACATCTTTGTGAGAGAACATTGTTCTTGTCACATCAGATTAGATTACTCGACAACAACCTTTACAACGAGAAATGGAAGTGACTTAGAGTAGGATTTGGTGAAAGGTACATATCAAGGGTTGGCTTTTTTACAAAATAATATTTACATTGTTCAAGTTCCAAGGTATGATATATGCAAATGAGCATGTAGCAACTGATAGGATAAAAAGTTCCACAAGGGACTTTTAGGGACTTTTGTTGAGCCATTTGTGTGCATGGTGGTTGATTGAGTACTATTTGCTACTTTCCATAATATAATAATTGTAAACTGGTTGATGTAAAGAGGAATTAGGATTCCTTAATTCATGCTCATTGTTGAGCAGAGAAGGAGAGGGTTAGGTTGTATTAACTAATGCATGTGCTTCAAAAATATTTTAATTTAATCTAATTATCTTAATTTTATTAGTGAATTCCAATATGTGAGATCTACTCCGGTCACCGGAATGTTAGTGGTTTTCTATAATGACCAAGCTGGTGTTAATTTTATTATAAAGACAATGTTGTGTGTTGTGTCAATGGTTGTAGTTGGCCCTAATTTTGTATCATTTAGTGTAACTTTGCCAAAATGGAACTAAATAAGAAGCCTTAAATAGGAAGAAAAGATCCTAAGTGTAATACTAACTCCATATACTATTTCCATATGCAAACAACACGGACTTTTCTCCTTGTCCATGTAAACCTTTTAAAAATAAGAGGTAAGACCAAGCCCGGGTCGGGGCAGTCCATTTGGATCTACACAACAGGGCCTCAAAATTTAAGGGCTCGACTTTTTATTTTCTCACTTGTTAATTGCTAAAGCCCAAATACACTAATAAGGAAAATCTTCTTCCTCAAATTCCCTGCACATTTCCTTAGCAAATTAACAATTTATTAACCACATAAAACTCTTTGACTTGTTAATCCAATTTTCCATGTTTTGATTTCCAAGTACACCATAATTAATACTCTCACATTATCATTTTTCTAAAACCCTCTAGTCATCAACTATATCCTTGATTTACTGATTTATTTCCTCATTCAAACCATTAAATTCTTCTCAAGCAATCCACATAAATTAGAGTTTTCAATGGCCAAATTTTCATATATTTATATTATCAAGATCTCTAAATCACAATATCCCACATCCTACAAATTTGTTTTAGTTCTTCACAAAAGGAATATAATTATTGCACTTTATCTCTGGAATTTCTCCGATTTGGGACGGTTCAATTAAATTTACATGTTTTTTTAAATCTATTTTATTTTAATATGTTTCAACTGTAATTGCTGTTGTGATTTTTCAAATATTTGTGTGAGTTTATTAATTATGCCTGTCAAAATTAAGAATACTTTGTATGACAATGGTCATGAAAACAAAAATGGAATAAAATTGAAAACGCTTTATAATTTCATTGTAGAGTAAACACAAGTTTCTATTGAATATAACAACAATGGTGATATGGAGGATGTTGTAGTTTCGAATTAAAGCTATTCATTCTTATTTTGATGATGACGTGATTTTTACATAAGATAGTTGTCCTTTAAAAAATTTTAAGGGCTTCACTATAGTACTCGGCACAGGGCCTCTAAATAACCGGAGACGGACTTGGGTAAGACTATAATGAGAGCAAGAGCTTACTATGCAAAACAAATGCCCCCACCCCCCCCCCCACCCCACCCTTCTCCTACCTTTTCAATTATGTTATGAACTTCATAGAATCGCCAATTAGCCAAGAATTTTCCAGTATATCAGCTAAAGTGCCTGGTGTTACTTCAACATAGTTATGGACACTTCTACTTATCAATATGAAAGTACTCCATAGTATATAAAACCGAAAGTAATTGATCTATACTCTATATCTGCCTATCTGTTGTAACCAAATTGCTTTGATAAACCATATATTTTACTTTACATTTCTCATTCCAATCACATTAGCTTCACCCCCAAAGGAAGCTAAAATCAATCTGATATTACAATCTCTAAAGAAAGAACAATTCTCTACATGTTTCCTCAAAACGCTTACTATTTCTTCTACTTCCCTAAACTCACTCTCATAATGCTGCACTCGAAATCTCAAATATATCAATCAAATTTAAACACCATTCATCACGAATTTTTCAATTATCAGCAACACAAGGTTCAGTATGTATAATTGCAAATGTAAGCTCAAATACCCAAAAGCAATACCGCCTCGTTCCCCTCATAAAAGCTCAAGCTAAACCAACCCACATTTAAAGAAAAATCCATCAAATCACCCAACTAGAACAATAAACAACCACATTTCACAAAAACAACAAGCACCCAAAAACAAAAATCACACAAAATAAGGAATCAATACACAACCATTAATTAATACAATGTAATTTTTTATAATTTAATAAAAAAATTAAGAACAATAATTACCTGAAAAAATGCAATCACAGCAATAGTCGCATCAACACAAGCAAGGGTAGCATAAACAACAACAATTAAAGGTGGGAAGCAAGTGTAATCTCTCAATTCCAACATTCTTGCTCCCCTTCTTCTTCCACAATATAAATTCGAACCAAAATCACTCAAAATTTATTTTTTTATTTTAAAAAATCACCAAAAGTACAAAATTAAAAAAAAATACCCGTTAATAGACCCTTAATTCCTCTACTTTTTCTGGAAATTTGAGATGAAAAAAGGGTGAAATTGGGTAGCCTTTTGGGACCAAGGGATATACGGTAAGAAGGATTGAAAAAGATATCTTTTGACAGTATCTTTCATGACAGATCCGCAACCCGATTAACTCCACTACAAACAACAAAAATTACAAAAACTAAAAACTAAAAAATAAAAAATTTGAGTTGGGTTTTACTTGAGAGTGGAGATTTGTAAAATTGTTCTGGGTTATAATTAAAGATAGTGGTACGAATTTTTTTTTTTTTTTTTTTTCTCAAATATAGAGTTTCTAGATACTACATTGATGATGAAGATTCCTTAATTGATTCCTTGTGGTATTTATTATCTTTCGGATTTTGGATTCTACAAAAAGCCTAAAATGAAGTCTACTTTTTAATTTATGATGATGATGTGCGATTTTGATTTAAATTTTCTACCACTAACTATTTGATAACTTTCAAATAGTCTACTTTCAAAAAAAAAAAAAAAAAAAAAAAAAAAAAAAAAAAAAAAAAAACCTATTTAAGAACTAGCCTTTTGGCCGATGTAATGCACGGGTTATTCATATAAAATTGCATTGAGAGATGAGTGAGGAAATATCAATAAGTCATTATGGGTATAATATGTAATCGAAAACATGGTTAAGGAAATTCAAATTTTGGAACTTTAATTGAAAAAGAGGCTTAAATAGAAGGTGGCGGGGGCTAAAATTAAAGAGAGAATAGGAAAAGGTTGAAATAAAGAAGAAAGATAAAGATGAAGGGATGAAGTGTGCATAAAAGATGAAGTATAAGTTTAATGAAAGAATTAAAGAAATCTTTTATATAATTTAAGAGTTGTTTTTGCAACTTTCATTCACAGCACTTCAAATACTCATCCTTGCAATTCTAGCACTTCTATTTTTATATTTTATCTTTATAAAAAAATAACCAATAACCACCATTTTTCTCATAACTACTGATATCACTCAATTAATATCTAGCCCTTCTTTCCTCCAAAAACAAAAATCTAGCCCTTTTTTTTAAAAAAAAATAACCAATAACCACCCTTTTTATTCATAACTACCCATATCACTCAATTAAAAAAAAATAACCAATAACCACCCTTTAATAACTTTCACTTCTACTTTTTTTTTTCCTTAAACATACATACTATATATATCCCGTGCATGAGCATGGATACACTCTAGTATGGTGTAATAAAAAAATTAATAATGTAAGAAGACATGTGGCACTTTGGTTAGAGAAGAAGATAGAGAAGTGTAATAGGATTAGGACATGTGTCTTTCTTAGTTAGAGTTTTTAAATACTAAGTATAGATTCTACCCCAAATTGATTAAGACAAAACTAATCACCTTATTAAGTTAATAGCCCTCATAGGCATGTGAGTATAGCTGTCAAAAGCTGACACGACACGATAACCCAACACGAAATAAGTGAATTTGGGTCAAAAATTCTCGACTTGTTACATAATTGGGTTAACACAAACCCAACACGAAATTAAACGGGTTAGGTTTGGGTTAAAATTTTCAACCCGAAATCAACACGTATAACCCGATTATATAAATCGGTTGAACGACAACCCGCTAACCCGAACCTTATATGCTTAGCCTATTAATTAAGCAGTAAAAAAATGAATTTTTTTATTCAAAACTTGTAATTTTTTAAATTGCCTTGTCACCATTTATAAATTTTGGTAATTTTTTGGCGGTTAATTACGGAGAAAAATTTTTTTCAACTTTTGTAAATTAAAATTTGGCGGTTAATTCGAGACAATTCTTATGTATAGTTGTGTTCCTAAACTACTAACTTTAAGATCTTGTAGTATCTTTAATAAATTAATGATGTATGTCTTTTTAATTTTTAAATTGAATATTAATTAGTTTTTTAATACTATGTGGATAAAAGATAACCCGAGTAACCCTTTTAATAAGCGGGTTAGGTTTGGGTCAAAGGTTTTCAATTCGTTTAATAAGCGAGTTAGGTTTGGGTCAAAGGTTTTCAATTCGTTTAATAAACGAGTTATGTTTGGGTCAAGGGTTTTTCAACCTGTTTAACATCGACACTAACACAAACCCGACACGATCCGACCCATTTGACAGCCGTACATGTGTGTATGTGATTGAAGGTTTGTTGAGTTAAATAAATTTTCACTTCTTTAATGAAAATAAGTTTATATAAGAGTTAATTACGAGGGATCTCCAATCTATATATCACGCTGATAAATAAAATTCGTTTATCTAGTGGCACAATCGTAAATAAATCAACAAAAATGTTTGATCGGCATAGTATTTTCTTAATTATACAACTATCAACAGAATTTCCCGTTAATTATATGAGATTAATTTATACTGAAAAGTTAAAGATATAAGAAAACAACCTCTAATGAAAACATAAATGTTTAGACAAGTTTTTAACATATTAGTAATGTGGGATCTTGTTTGAATCATCTCAGTGTATATTTTATTAATCTTTAGTTTATACAATTTTTAATTGTTCATGATTAGAGTTATTAATCGTTAAAATTGTGCATTGGCAAATGTGATGAAAGAAACACGTTAACTTAAAAAGAATATTTTCTTCGTTCTTGTAATATTGCCGGATTTGTCACATGGGGAGCACACAAATTATTTTTTGATAGTGGAAAAAAAGAAAGTGAAAGAAAGAAAAAGAAAATGCAAAATTGCCCATATGATTGTAAGCATAAATCAATGAGACAGGTGGTTAAAGTAAGAGAATATTGGGTACGGTATTTTTAGTATGGACAGGTATATTTGTTTTCCTACAATGGGTATGATGCAATACTTATAAAAATTCTTTTAAAGACAAGTGATGCAATATTAATAGAGTGAAGGAAAAATTTATCATATCATATCATATTATCATCTCCCCCCGTCCCTTAATGATAGTCCCTTTTGGTAAAATTTCACGGATACTAAGAAACTTAAATATAAATAGTAAATATATATATATATACACATTTTAAACGGTAAGGGAAAGGACCCTTACCGAACCTCAACCCTCACGGTTTTTTTGGTCTGGTATTTGCGGGTCAGACACTTTGAGAGTGAGGGGGAAGGGTAAGGAATCCCCACCCTCAAAGTGCCTCTAGTGGGGATTGAACCCCCAACTGGAAGGTGCAATCTTTCCCATTAGACCAAGCTTAGCTTGGTAAATAGTAAAAGTATATTGAAAAGATAAATTTACATGGGGTATGAAAAAAAAATAGAGAGAGAAATTGATAAAAGTATATGAAAATGCAAAATTTACATGGAAAAGCAAAATTAGCACAAATATTGTTGCAAATTGGAGGCAATTTTGGTAAAAATAAAAATAAATATAAATGGTTGTTGGAAAAAGCAAATGAGGTGAACATTTTGGGAATAAAATTTAGCCAAAAGGGACTATCTTTAGGGGACTAAGGGAGTATAATATTATATTTATTATTTATCTATATCTATATCTATCTATCTATACTATATATATTAAAAGATACTATGTATTAAAAGGTGTTCCCTTTAAAGGATTGGTGCCACGTGACACTCTTCAAAGCATATGCGTCATGTTACTATCCAAAGTATATGCACCACGTAAGCTTGCTACTTCATTTAACAAAATAAATAATGCTTTGAGCTAGATTCAAACCCGTAACCTCCAACACATAAGAGTCATACATTTACCATCTCAACCAACTTTCATTAAGTTGTTAACTTTCACATAACATTATATATTCCTTTCATTAAATAAGTAAATTAGAGGTTACATAATTTAATTATTTTTTACAAAATTAGAAAAAAAAAATACATATGAGGTTTAAAAAAAAACGTAGCACCCAAGGCGACGCCCAAACCACACACTAGCTATACAAACAGTCGAATATAATTATCTAATTAAAGAATTACAAACTAGCAACCCGGGGCATCGTCCGGGCTACACATGACACTAGTTATTATTTATATATCTATACTATATATTAAAAGACGTTCCTAAACAAGGTTAGGCGTCACGTGACACTCGCCTTATTTTTTTACTCCATATGTTTAAGGAATATAGCAATGGGGTACCCATGTCTATGGTCTTTGACAATGGTCCTCAATTTGAGACGCCTGCTCTCAAGAGTTGGTTAGGAGAGCAAGGGATCTCTCATTGTTTTGCATCAGTCGGCCGTCCTCAAGCAAATGGCCAGGTTGAAACCTTCAATAAGTTAATCTTAGAAGGCATTAAGAAGAAAATAGAAAGAGCTGGCGGCCTATGGGCTGATGAATTGCCACATGTTCTGTGGGCCATTAGGACGACTGAAAAAGGGGCGACTGGTGAAACCCCATTTCTCATGGTTTATGGGTCAGATGTCGTATTGCCTATTGAGCACTATGAGCCGACTCTTCGAGTCATGTTATATGATGAGGAGGCTAACTAGGAGGCCATGCGGCTAGCACTGGACTCACTCCCAAAGCACAGGGGCAATGCTGCCTTGCGCCATGAGATCTATCGTCTGAGAATGACGAGAGCCTACAACAAAAGATAGCACAAGCGCCCCTTGAAAGTAGAGGACTTTGTGTTACGAAAAATGGAGACGACTGGTAGGGCCAATGAGCAGGGAAAGCTGACTCCCAATTGGGAAGGCCCCTACCGGATTTATAAAGAAGTAAGAGGCGACACCTACCGCCTGGAAACACTAGACGCCAGGCAGCTAGCCAGAACTTGGAATGTAGACAACTTGAAAAAGTACTACTTCTGAGACTTGTAATCTTATTTTGTACTTGAAGTATCAATGGAAGTTGCATTATTAACTTATTTCTCTCATGGTACCGTCTGTATAATGTACAGGCGGCCTTATTTAATATTTCAAATTACTGCTCCAACACGAGCAAATTTAAGCTAAGTCTAAAAACTTAGCGGCTATGTGTTGTTCCTTTTAGAACAGCCTATTGAGGCCAATGGTCGGATGATATAAAATTAAAACAATACGTCTGCCCCAATATGAGCAGGCGTCCAGCGACATCCATTTGGGTGAATTCGTCGCAGAGAGCATCTCCCATTTGGGTGGCACATTGCTCTGTGAACTGATTAAATGAGACAAAGATAACAAAGACTACCGACTGCTCTAAAAACATGCGGTAATCTATAATATCTAAGTCGGATGCCGACTGTTGTTGCTCTGGGGAAACATAATCGGAAAAATTTGAGGGTATAAGCTAAGTTCCACACTTAGCAGCTAATTGAGTAATAAGCTAAGTCTAAAGCTTAGCACATGTGAGGAAACAACATGCGGCTAACGGTCGTCTACTTCTTCTATTTACTCAAAATAAGGTGACAAAGATTGATTAATCCCAAAGGTTAACTCATAGTTGCTCGGCCTGAATAACCTAAAATGGAACCTAAACGGTACGAACGAAGCCACCTGTCCTTTTGATAAACAGACGGCATTCGGCCACTATTCCTATTTAGGTTAGCGAAACAATTAAGTACAAAACTTAGTAGCTAAGCGTGGTTCGTCTAAAGAACTATATTGACACCGAGAGTCGGATAATGTTGTATGCTCACCTGTGCATTGGCCGACTGACCGTCTGGTTTGGGGCAATCACCATAGTGATTTATTGACCTAGAAATTAGTCATACTCCATAAAGTATCAAAAATTCCCAAGTTAATCAATTCACCTTTGAAAACCAGGCAAACAGTCGCCCAGGGGCAAGAACAGTCGGTATAATGAAATAAGCATTCATGAAAAAGTAGGTTACTTATACTTGGCAAAATTTATGAAATACAAAAATTTAAAGCAATTTGGAGAAACCGGCCAAAATGGCCGGATGATTCGTATAAACAGTCGGCCAGGTAACCGACAAAAATGATTTTAAAAATTGTCAATAAACCCGACCCCTTGGTTGGTAATGATACAAGCAGAGCATACGACACGCAGGCCGAAGAAAAATTACATGGTCATTCGGTCGCAGAAAAATCACCCAAGGGCCTAAGCTTCAGGAGGAGGCTTTTTAGTATCAGGAGCCGCATCCTTCTGTTCCCAAGTCGGCTCCTTATCCTTTTCAGCATCCACCACCTCCTCCTCCTCCTCTTGGTCCGACTCCCCTGAGGTAGAATCAGACGACTCCTCCTCTTCCTCTCCCTCAGCCTCTTGGGCTTGGTTCATGACTTTCT